CGAGAGTAGATGAATTTAAATAAATAAATGAGTAAAGTGCAGGGATTTTGAGTTGTGTGTTGTTGTGAAAACAACAACTTGGTTCTTCTTTTTAATTTTCAGAGATATAACTTAAATTAATTTGATTAAAGTGATTTATAACAACAACTAAGGCTCCGGGAATCACTTAGATGCTTTGATAGGGTTGAATATTAGTTCTTTACCAATAATTATGAATACGATGTCGCTAATATATTCTCAACTCCGGTTAAGGCAGCGAGAGCGTGGTTTTCGTTACGTGTAAGTCCCGTTACGGCTTACATTCATCTACGGAAAACCCCGTTGAATATCAAGACATCACACCCGTATCATATAATACCGGATATATTTCTATTCTCGGTAATATATATGTTTATCCTTTAATGTTCATAGTTTAGACCTCAACGTTAATTGTAAGCATAAACTAAGTTTAACATACTTCTATGTTGTACACCATAGTCATAAACAATCAAAATATAGAGGATAAATCACAATTTATTGGTTTAGAACTTTTATCAAACACCTAGTGGGCATAGAAGTTCATCCCTAGCCTTAGCTAAGAAATTAGCCTCTAATGCTCATATTAATCACAATACAATATTGAAATGTAATGGAACATGAAATTACAAAGGAAATAATACCTAAACACCAATTATTTCGGAGGTTGAAGTTTCCTCCTCAAGAACTTGAAGAAAATACCAAGAACAAAAATATAAAAGCTATGATTTAATCTATGGAATGGAATGATATTGCTTGATGAATTGAGGGCTTTATATAGGCTAAAGAAAGGCATCTTTTAGTCTATTCAAGCCTAACAATCGGGTATGGAAGCAATATTTGATCAGATATGGAGGAAGATGGATTTTTCCCATCAGAAATCTTCTGCACGTCAAACTGTTTTAGCAGAAAATCGGAACAACCGGCGCCGGTTGGAGCATGTCCGGCGCCGGTCGGGTGCAAAAATGCACCGGTTGTCCGGGCCGGTTGGAAACAGGCGCAAAAAATGAAAAAAGTCCATACGACCGGCGCCGGATATGTGATGACCGGCGCCGGTTCCTGCGCCCAAAATTATACTTCGCTTCTTTTCCTCTTTTGATGCCCGAAATTGATCCAGAAGTGCCGGTTTTCGATCCCTTTTGACTTTTGACCCTATTTTTGTTGCTCCAAGCCGTATTTCATGTTTCCGCTCACTCGGAAATATTTACCTGTTTTCGCTTCACATTTTTGTACAGATAAATATAATTACTTATGTAAAACATAAGTAATTATTGTGCTTATCAGAATTCCCGGCCTTTCATATTCTAAGTATTATGAAACTAACATTTTTTATCCTTTTACTTTGATTTTGTCATCAAAAGTGGATGTCTAAAAATGTCAATGACCGTGTTTGATAATATTAGTTGTCTGCTAGCTCATATCCGGTTGAATCAACAAATTGATATTTGCGGATTCGTTAACTTTTTTAACTAACCGCTTTCGTTAGCGGTTTGAAATAAAATGTTAGTAACTTAAAATTTACAATTAGCTTTTGTGACGTAAAATGACCATTAAAAAATAAATTTAAAAGTTTATATATTTAAATTAATTTTATTTATTTTATTTTTAATAAGTTTTGGAAAAAGTTTTAAAAGTTATGTTTACGTTTATTTTAAATAATTGCTAACAATATCATTTTTAGGATATGTACATTAATGCGAGCACATACATATAAATTCATATATTTTTAGTAATATTTTTTTAATATGACTTTTTTTTAGTTTTTTTAAAGTCTACTCCATTTAAAAAATCTACCCCAGAATTCTACTCCATATGACTACTTATTAGTTTTTTTAAAAAAATTATTCCATGGCTATTTAAAATAAATGTATTATAATTTTTAAAACCTTTTCACTTTTAAAATAGAATAAACAAAGTTAAGATAAAATATATACTTTTAAATTCATATCTTTAATTGTCATTTTACATCTTAACATTTAATAGCCAATAATTAAGTTATAAACATTTTATTTCAAATGATAATGTAAGCGGTTGGTTAAAAAAGCTAACGGAATCCGCTATTATCAATATGCTGATTCAGCCGGTTATTAGCTACCAGATAAATGTTATTATCAAACACGATCATTGACATTTTAGACCTCCACTTTTGATGACAAAATCAAAGTAAAAGTACCGAAAATGTCAATTTCACAATACTTAGAATATGAAAGTTCGGGAATTCTAAAGTCGAGGATCAAAAGTTTATCACTCACAAAAAATTCACCAATTTGTCACTAGGCCTTTCTTTTACCAATTTGTCTCAAGTGGTTCTTTTTACCAATCTGTCCAATGACCCTCATTTTTTTTTACCAATTTGGTAATTTGGCCTACTTCTATACGTACGTGGTGATACACTACAAAAAATTTACGGGATTGACACGAAATTTGGCACAGATTTTTCGTACAAAATAGCTCGTGTCAAAGTATTTTTGGCACAGATTTGGCATATCCCTGCCAAATCCCTACCAAAATCCCTGCCAATCCCCATGTTTTTTTGTAGTGTGATGAAACGGTTAGCAACACAAGAGAGGGGTGAATTGTGTTTGTGTGGAACCGTGGCAGTTTTTCGCCAAGTTATAGTGTGGGGTAAAGGGAATTGTGAAATAGTAAAATGCACAAGAATTTAACGAGGAAAAATCTCTTGGCTCAAAGGGATTAAAAAACCTCGACCTCCCTCGGAGGAATTTTAACAATTTCACTAAAAAGTCTTTGAATGATTACAAGGGAAACTCTCATAGTCTACCCTTGAGCCCCACAACTCTATCCTTTCTAGGAAGAGTTATGCTTCTCTACCTTATGGGTAGAGAGCCTCTCAGCTTTACAACAAAGCTCTCACAACACACGTTACCCAACCCGGGGAAGCTGCGTTTAGCTCGTCCTCAATAACCCAATTACAATATAAGAAGGGAATAAGAAACTCTATCTAGAACTCCGAGCGCATGTTCAGATGCCTTGACTTGGGATTTGTCTCATATACGTCTCTTAGTATTTATCTCAGTCAAGCCCTCTTTTTTTCATTTGGCTTGCTCGAATATATAGGTTGTTTGAAATGAGTCCGTTGGAGCTTTCCTTTCCTTGAGTAGATCAATAGAGATTCTTGCCTTGTTTCATTTTGAAAATGCCTTCCATCTTGAGTTGAATTAACGATCTCTTATTTGCATGAACAAGGGAATAATTTACCTACTATACATAGGCATGCAACGGACAAGATACGACAGCCAATATCCCATTTACTTTCTCAAGTGTATGAGTCACACAATCAACTTCCATAAAGCAAGAGCATTTATTTCACGTATGCTTAAAAAATGTTTATTTAATATTTAAAGTAGGGAGAAATGCCAAAAATGACACTATGATTTTTAATGAATCTCGGATAGGACATTGAGGTTTAAAGTGGACCAAAAAACTACAAATTAAAACCTTTCCCTTTACTTTTAACCACCCTCTAACTCTCCCGTTAAACGACCGTTATCCCCAAACTAAAACACCCCTTTCCCTGCGTTATTCCACAGATGATGGTCTCTTCTTTTGACTTACTCTATCACACTTGATGATCTCATCATCATCCGTGTGACCATGAGAAGATTCAATATGAACAACTTCATTTCCAATCTCGTTTTTCTTATTCCTTTCTCCTCTAGTAACTAAGAAACGACAAGTAAATGTCAAAACATTGTTTAAGGTATATTACCTAGACACACAATGCTAGAAATTAACAACACTAGACTTCATATTCAGAAAACAACATGATGCTATCAAGACTCGGACCAGCCAGTGCATCTCAAACCATGTAAGACGAAATCAGTCGGCGTCAATTTTGAAAGTCACATGCGATTATAAGGAAATAACGTGCTTTAAAATAAGGGGAAAAATAATCAAGCCTACATGAACTTAGGAAAGTGAACTTGGAAATGGGGGAGTGATGTTTCTGGGGGCTTTGCTTTTTTTTTTTTTTTGAATTTTGAGACTGTTATCTTCACTTCCATTTCTACACGCTCGTCTTCTTCAGCGAAGTCAAAGGCAGCAAACTTCTGTTTACTTGGACTGCGGCTACTCAAACACTTCTTCTTGGTCATGGTTTGCGTTATTTAGATCCTTTACAAATCCGGCAGGTGGGTCATGGGTGACCGCTGACTGGTTGGTTGAACGCGCTCGTGCCAGAGAGATTTTTTGAATAATCTTCTCAGCCGAGTGCGACTTACAGTCCAACAAATGTTACCTAGGGTTGCAAATTGGGGGCTTTGTGTTTAAACACAGAGAAAGGTGCGTTTTAGTTTTGGGGGAAACGGTCGATGGATGAAAGAGTTAGAGGGTGGTTAAAAGTAAAGGGTAAGGTTTGAATTTGTGTTTTTTTTGTCCACTTTAAACCCCAGTGTCCTATTCGAGATTCATTAAAAACCATAGTGTCATTTTTGGCCCTTCTCCAAGTAAGACAACCACTTTCTCTAGCAAATTTAAAAGCTTCGATCCACTATTATAAAGATAGTAATAACACTTTCCATGAGATATCATAAAAGCAAGAAATGCCCATGCAGACACATTTTAATTATGGGCATGAATATCTTATGTAGGACCCGGGACAATTCTGTCCATTGTTCATATTAGAACACATCGTAGTTCTATCACTTTATCCACCTGCATGGTTAGTGAACATAATTTGTCCATGTGGACCTGGGAGTGGTTCTGTCCGTCGTTCTACCTGTGTGGTTAGTCATCAACAAAACGAAGTACGACTTAACCTCCTTTCTTGCAATCACTTATAGATCAAAAGTAACACTAGTTGTTTGTCATCAACAAAACATTATGTTCCAACATAGTGATATTATCCTTCCCAATGTGCAAAATGGTAGAATTTGCCACATGGCATCTATATAATGAAGGAGAGAATCGTGGAGAGGACACATAAAATTTTATTTTAATGAGTTGTCTCTTTAACAAATAAAAGTAAAACATTTACAGCCTGCGGAGATGGATACGCTTAAACGGAACAGCCATCCATGCACGCAATGCATATTGATTGTAGGGTAATACAAATGCTTAGGACCAACAATCTCTCCCAACCAGAAACCCATAAATATCAATGGGAAGGGTAAAGGGACCAATTTTTCATCTCCATGGATCGAAGGGGTAATCTCTATTCTTGATTGTCGGACACCCGGCCTGTTGTAATCTAAAACTCTTTCTCATTTCCTGTGATGATATTATTATGATTGTCTGAGGAAGGGGAAAGAGTTTCCCGAATTTAATTTCTAGCAGGACTCAATAGATCGAGGAGGCAGATCGAAGAAGAAGAATTAAAAGAGATCGAGCTAGCAGGAAGAGAAGGATCGTCAGATGGGGGTGCAAAGGGCTGCTGCTGCAAGCAATGCCTATTCATGGTGGTATGCCAGCCACATTAGGACCAAACAGTCCAAGTGGCTTGATCATAGTCTTCATGGTATGTACCTACCTACCTAGTTTCTATATTTTATTTAAAGCACAACACTCACTCTTCACACAGAAAAGCTAGATCAGAATATGTGTAATTAAGAAGAAGAGAAAATAGTCAAATAAGGTCTTCTACTATTATGAAATCATCACATAAGGTCATGCACTCAATAAAGTGTCATATAAATACGTCTACTTATAACTTATAAGAAACAATCAAATGAGTCCTTATTTAATTGTTTTTTACTAGTAGACACATTTATATGACACTTTATTGAGTACATGGCCTCATGTGACGATTTCATAATAGTAGAAAGCTTTATTTGACTCTTTTTTCTTAGAAGAACAAACATCAATTACAAAAACCCCAATTTTTTATTATCATGTTGTATGCAATTGTATTGTTGTTTTTGCTCGTATTAGTCCACAAATAAGACTAATCATTACAAAACTCATGACTCTTCCATATGGAGGTGGTGGGTACATAAATAAATTGTGAAACAAAGTGTGCTTCCGGTACAAAAGGCAAATTCATCTCATCCGTCCAAAATTACAAAATCAAGGGTAAGAGTTGTTTGAACTGCCTAGTTAACTTCAAGAAATTATTTGAGTGTCTTCCCGATTGAATTTTTAGCTGAAATTTGGTATGGATAAACTAGACTTCATGAAGAACATGCTCAAAAAAAATCATCAAAAAATTACACCGGGAACTGCCCGAAATGCCCTCGGCCGGACGGAGCATCCCGTCAGGCCGGCCTGACATGAAGATTTGTCTATATATACATACATACATACATATATATATATATATATATATATATATATATATATATATATATATATATATATATATATATATATATATATATATATATATATATATATATATATATATAGGAAAATCTTCCGGTAAGATATACCTTACCGGAGCCACCGTGCGGCCTCCACGTTTTGAGGTCCTTTCCGGTGGAAATTTTTGATGAAATTTTTTGAGCATGTTCTTCATCAAGTCTAGTACATCCATACCAAAGTTCAGCAAAAAATTCAATTGGGAAGGAAGTCAAACGATTTTTGGAAGATAACTGCGTTTTATATGTATATAAAGGGTGCAATTATCTTCCAAAAATCATTTGACTGCCTTCCCGATTTAATTTTTTGCTGAAATTTGGTATGTCTGTGCTAGACTTGATGAAGAACATGCTCAAAACATTTCATTGAAAAATTCCACCCGGAAGGCCCTCCAAACGTGGACGCCGCACGGCGGCTCCGGTAAGGTATACCTTACCGGAAGAGTTCCCTATATATATATATATATATAGACACACACAAAAATGATCAGGTCCAAACGTTCGGACAGAAGCCTCCGTTCGAACATCCTCGTTTGGGGCCCTTTCCGGTGGAATTTTTTGATGAAAGTTTTTGAGAATGTTCCACATCAAGTCTAGTTTGTACATACTAAATTTCAGCTCAAAATTCGATCGGGAAGGCATTCAAATCATTTTTTGAAGTTAACTGCGTTTTTATATGTATATTTTGACGCAGTCAACTTCAAAAAATTATTTGAATGCCTTCCCGATCGAATTGTGAGCTGAAATTTGGTGTGGACAAACTAGACTTGATGAAGAACATGCTCAAAATATTTCATCAGAAAATTCGACCGCGAAGTGTCCCAAACGTCCATGTTCGGACGGGGAATGTTCGGACCTGAACATTCCTCTCTCTCTCTATATATATATATATGTGTGTGTGTGTGTGTGTACACACACACACACACACACACACACACACACACATATATATATATATATATATATATATATATATATATATATATATATATATATATATATATATTCAAGCGCATTGTTTTCTACGATTTATTTAATTGACTTCTCGATTGTATTCTAAACTTAAATTTTATGGTCAGAATCTACACTTCACGAAGCATCTCAAATTGAGATATTTCATTAAAAAAAATCATTCAGAAGCACCTCAAATTGAGGTGGCCGGATGGCGCTTTGATTTGTATTCTATATTTTCAAATTTAAATCATAATTTATGAACCCAAATAACAAATCAAATAAAAATTATTTGTTTCTTTTACATCCTTTACTCCTTATGATACTTCTGGTTTATTAGTAATTGGCTTAAAATGTGAATACGTAAATGTATATATGAGCTACACTTTGAGGGTATAGATAGCTAGTTTTTAAAAGTTATTATAATGTTATTACTACTGTTATTACTATTACTATTATTATTTAGATTCTAACCATTATTAATCAAATATATTTGATTAACATTTCAAGCGAATATACTGATGTTGAGTTTAATCCAACACGATATAGTAAATATATGTATAAATGTGTATGAACAAGCTCTTTTTACGTGGAAACCCGAAAGGGAGAAAACTACGGGACTTTTTAGCCTATGTCCAAGACCTCTCTTTCTCATTAGGACTCTCCTCACCATTACATAGTACAATATTCAAGCTCCATTAATGGAGGATAAAGCTAGCTAATCTATTCTAGAGAGGAGGAGAAGTGGGGAAGAAGATATCAACCCAAAATCCCCTTTACATGGAGGGAAAACCTCCTATTTATAGGGAATAAGGGAAGGGGAACAAATCTACCCTAATGGGCCAAGTGGGCCGAAAGGGCCCAAAGGCCGAAACAGGCCTAATAAGCTAAAGCGGGCCTCACTGATCAGGCTCCGTACTGCGTACAGTCTTGGACTCCTGAACGGTAACAGACCGGGATAATATATCTCAACAACTGATATTCATATTTATATTTGATAACAATTCGAATCAAATTTAGTATTCTTGTTTGTATTTATATTTGAATATTTCAAATTTGAATCGTCTTATACGAATTCGAATCCCGAATTAATCATAAATGATTTGATTCGTATATAACCCTACCGGCAGAGTTGAACACAATCATGATCATGTATATAGGGTCCAGAAACTAAAAATAGGGTCTGGTTACAAAAAAACAAGTAGGGCCTTCCGTGCAAAGTGCAAACATCTCTAGTTTTGAGCATTTGAGGAGCACTATTGTATTGAGAAGTTTTCCGTCATTCACTTTTCATCATTTACATACACTATTACATACAGGAAGTCTACTTTTCGCAAAGAATAAATTTTTTGATTTATTTATAAAACTATCACCACATTTTTATCCACTTGGCATTTTTGACATATTTAGAACAATTAGATCTTAAATTTGATGCTCTAGCCTTTTTATTTGATCTAAATTCTATATATACAGTGCGATTCCATTTAGAATAATGCTTAACGAGAGAACACACACATTTAATGTAATGTGATGCACAATAGATGTCATCTATTGCACTTTTAATTCTACTCAAATCAAGTCAATATTAAATATTGTGTGCCATTTTAATAAATACTATTTTTAATGCAAAAAATGCAACGGACAAGTCTCATTGTGCATCGTATTGAGGTAAATGTGAGTTTTCTCTAAAAAATATTCTCATTTGATCATGAGAATATATGCATGTCCTTTAGAGAGACAAAATGGTCAACTGTGTAATCTCAAAGGAGCTAGGGGGTTTAATGAAATGTCCATGCATTCAATCACATGCATGGAGTTCCTTAAACACCAGATAATAAAATGAATGAAGAGCCAAAGTACCTACTATATGCATCATAAATCTAATTGGCTCGCATTTGATGATTTTATGATACAATTAGGCATATTTAATCATCATCATTACCCAGTGCCACAAAGGCTCCCACCTAATAGGCTAATATAATTAGGAATCTACCTAATAGATATTTAGGAATATTCCTAATATCTATTTAGGAATACTCCTAAATATCCTAATATCCTATTAGGTAGATTCCTAATTATATTAGCCTATTACCACCTACGGTGGGGTAAGGGGATGTCAGATGTACGCAGTCTTACCCATGTACTAAAGCACAGAGAGATTGTTTCCGGATGACCCATAGTGAACATCGCGTCTAAAATTGCATGGATTGACCGCTGCTTCATAACAAAGAAGCGCATACAGTTTATTAGTGAACCATTTTGCTTTATTCCAACATATTCTCAATTAGGAATGTTTAATATGACATTAAATTGTCCTGCCCATTACATGCGCTACTGCAACACATACCGACTAAAATGAAACAATACATCAGTGTCAAACCTGTCCTATGAGAGTGGGTGGGAAGTTTAACACTTTAACTGAGTACATTGTAACTAGAAGCGGTAATGTAGATATGGAGGAGAAGGTGCAATGCATGCTGAAAATGATAGAACAAGAAGGCGATTCATTTGCCAAGAGAGCAGAAATGTATTACAAAAGAAGACCAGAGCTCATAAGCTCTGTTGAAGAAGCTTACCGCGCCTTCCGGGCTTTAGCCGAAAGGTATAGTCAAATCACTGCCTTTGATGAAATGCTTGCTAGTAACTTGCAGCTTCATAGTCTTTAGACCCTTACAGTTGTGATGTACAAAAATAACAGGCCTAATCTTGATACGGATTAGAAACTTAAACCAATTCAAAACATCACCAAAACGAGTTAGGAATACTGACAAATCTACTTTCCATATTTTAACAGGTATGATAAGCTATCCAAAGACTTGCATACTGCCAATCACACCATCGCTACTGTCATCCCCGAACAAATCCAGATGGTGATGGAAGAAGACGAAGACGACTTCTGTTCCCCGAAACTTTCCAAAAATCCACAAGATTCTCCTAGATTCCCCAGAGGTTTGTTTAGATCCATAAAATGCTATGGTAAAGAACAAAAAGGTCATGCAAAGCTTTTAACTACCTCCCTCCGTCCCAAAAAATTGTTCCCGCATTGACTTGGATCAGAGTTTAAGAAAGTGGGAATAAAATGGAAATGTATGGTTGTGGTTGTGTAAGAAAAAGGTAAATGAATGTGAGCCACACAAAACTTTCCAAAAGGGGAAAGTGGAACAATTTTTTGGGACGGCCCAAAAAGGAAACCGGGAACAATTTTTTGGGACGGAGGGAGTAGTGTATTTAACTTTCTGAGATTAAAGAGACTTCACTTATTAAAAAAACTTTAAAAACTAAAATACAATAAATTAAGAGTGTAACGTGCATAAGGACAAAAATTGTGCAGGAAAAGAAAAAAAAGAGGGGAAATCTGGATGAAGAGGTAAAATAATTAAAGCTTCCCTGGAAAGAGAAATAAACAGGGACAAAACAATAAGGGGAGAGGAAATACAGGTTAAAAGAAATTAAAATGATGAAATGGAAGACAACTAAGCATCAATAACTTGACTCCATGAATTAGTTAGTAATAACCACGAAGGACAAATAATCTGCAAATTAGTTAGTAATAAAGTGAGTACCAACAAAGATTTAAAATAAAAATTTATTGAGCTTAAGCCCATTTTCATTTTCTCATATGTGTTTTCATTCTTAATTTACATCCCTAGTATTTGCGGGTTTCCAAACAGACTCCAAGAATCTCCAAGAATCTGGCGGCCCAAAGTTCGCAAAGGCTCCAAAGAAGCCATTTCAAACCAAGAATCTTTCCAATAATGCAGGAGATGCCGATACAAAAGCCAAATCCCTTGAAGAGATTGAAAATCTCCAGAATGAAATAAGTTCACTCGAAGCCGTAAAAGAGGTTGTGAGGAATTCATACGAACACGGGCTTTCAAAATATCAGGAGATTGAGAAACAAATAATGGAAATGCAGGAGAAACTTTCGCATCTGCAAAAGGAATATGTGGTGACAATGGATGTCGAGAATGATAAGGCCGGGAACCTAATAACAGAAACAACACTAAGATCATGCCAAGAGAGCTTGGCTCAGTTGCAGGAGAAGCAAGATAAATGCTGTAAAGATTCTAAAGAGGAGACCCAAAAGATTGAAGATGCAGACAAGAAACTGAAATTCCTCAAATATGAGTCACTTCATGATAATAATGACCACATCATGACATCTGAAGATGTAGACTCCATGGAAATTCAAACAGTTTCTGAACAAACAACAAAGATTGATGAGCTTGTGAACAAGGTACTTAATCTGGAGATCACAATGGCTTCCCAGATTGCCTTAATCGAAAGAACAAAAACTGAATCCAATGATCTCCATGTCAAAATAAGTATATTGGAAGATGAAAAGGCAAATCTCACCACGGATAAACAAAATCTGTTCGTCAGAGTTGAAGAACTGGAAGAACAATTGAGGAAGCTTCAGAATCTACACAGAGAAGTTGAGAAACAAAATAGAAGTCTTCAAGCTCAACTGGCAGAAGCCCATTCCTGTTATGATCAGTTGTGTGAGAGATTGAAACCAGATAACCACACAGTGAAACATGTAACATTTGCAGATGAAAAAGAATCTAACGGTTCAACACAAGAAATAGCAGACACAGAAGCACACTGGGAGAAAGATGAAAAATTTAACTGGCAGAAGATGTTGTTAAATGGAGTGGAGGACAGAGAACAAGTTTTACTTAAAGAGTATATCGCAATTCTCAGAAGCTACAAAGATCTAAAGAAGAAATATGATGATAGGGTTGGGGGGTTTGAAATTGAATTGCAGATGAATGATCTGAGAGGTGCCATTGCAAAAAGAGATGCAGAGATACGTTATTTACATCAAAAATTAAATCTTTTTACCGATGAAAAGAAGATTGCTGAACCTGGATATGTTGTTAAAAAGGTCCGAAAATCAAAGAGCAGAACTGGAATTCCTTTAAGGGAAATAATCTTTGGAACCAAACCAAAGAAACACAGGACTTCTGTCTTTTCTTGCATCCAAAGCCATAAATACGAGGCCATGAAAGCTGGGAGTTCTTCATAAATCTTCTGTTTGTCCTTCTTCCTTCTGAAACTTTAACTTTATCGGTAATTCCTCTGGAGGATAAATGAAGACTTTGGGGAGACTCCTTCATTTAATTTTCTTTATGATTGGCACAGAAGTGAAACCATAGTTATCTCATGATGGCATGGTATATAGAGAAAATAAGTTATTACTACTATGTGAAAAATTAATGACCAAAATAAGACGTAGAGATTTTTATGAGTCAAGATTTCTGAATCCTTGAATCTCATAAAAACTTGCACTTCCTAAAAACATGTGACGCATAATGAAGTGATATACTCTCAGTATTTTAAAGAATGCTACTTTATATTTTGACACATTATTTAAAGATAGTAGGAGTATTGAATACACTAGAAAAAGTAGGATAAAAAGTGGAAAAGTATGAAAGATAAATAAAATGTTGAAAAAAGTAAGCATAATTCAGTATAGTTAAAAGAAAAATTACCAAAAATAGAAACTTTTAAATATATACTAAAAAGGATAGTGTATCAAACTTTAAAATACAAAGAAAGTAATAAATAAATAATTAAATGGGTTAAAAAATAATTTAATAGAAACATACACCAAAAAATCCATTTAAGCGCTCCCTGCAACAGCGCAAAAATATGATTGCTAAATTTTGTAAGTGTACAGATCGATCATAGTAAAACCTAGAGTATTTTATGATCAACCTCGCAAGGAGCACAAACTCAACTTCAATGGTTTAAATTTCTATCAAAGGTAAAAATAGATTTTGTTTTGGTTTGATAATTTAAAGCATGGAGTAAAAACACAATGACAAATAAATCTTGTATAAAATGGCTCTCAGGATTTGGGATATACGCTTGATATTATGATGAAAACGGTTAGCAACACAAGAGGGGGGTGAATTGTGTGTGTGTGGAACCGTGGCAGTTTTTCGCACAGTTCTAGTGTGGGGAGATGAGAGTTGCGAAATAGTAAAGTGCACAAGAATTTAACGAGGAAAAATCCCTTGGCTCAAAAGGGATTAAAAAAACCTCGACCTCCCTCGGAGGAATTTTAAACAACTTCACTAAACAAGCCTTTGAAAGATTACAAGAGTGATTCTCCTAATCTACCCTTGAGCCTCCCCAACTCTATCCTCTCTAGGAAGAGTTTCGCTTCTCTCCCTTGCGGATAGAGAGCCTCTCGGCTTTACAGCAAAGCCCTCACAACACACTTGATCCCAACCCGAGGAAGCTACTCTTATCTCGTCCTCAATAACCCAATTACAATATAAGAAGGGAATAAGAACTCTGTCTAGAACTCCGAGAGCAGTTTCAGGTGCCTTGGACTTAGTATTTCTCTTGAGTGTTTCTCTTGATATTTTCTCGGTCAAGCACACTGTTTTCCTTTTGGTTGCTCGAATATATAAGCTGCTTGGAATGAATCCGTTGGAGCTTTCTTTCCTTGAGTAGATCAATAGGGATTCTTGCCTTGTTTCATTTTGAAAAATGCCTTCTATCTTGAGTTGAATCAACGATCTTATATGTGCACTGATCAAGAGAATAATTCACCTACCATAAATAACCATGCAACGGACTATACACAAAAGCCAGCATCCCATTTAAAATATCTTAAAAGATAGCTTTATGGTAAAGATATTTACTTTAACAAGTAAATGAATCACATGGTCAACTTCCATAAAGCAAATCATTGATCTCAAAAATGCTAAGTAATATAGCGAAAATGTTTATTTAATACTCTAAGCAAAACAACCCCTTTATTTGCAAATTCAAATGCTACGTTCCATCAATAAAGATAGCAAGAATATTTTTCATAAATCATTAAACTATATTAATGAGTGGAGTCTTATCAAGCATGGAAAGAAAATAAGTAGCTCAATTGAAAAGTACGTATATAATGGTCATGCTACCATTTATAAATCATGCACTCACATTATAGCAAGTAAAGATACTTTCCATAAAGTATTAAACTATATTTAATTAGTGAATGCCAAGTCATGCATGGAAGAGAATAAATAATTCAAGTTACGTATATAGTGAGTGACCATGCATAGAAAAATACTTTTGCTTAAAATAATATTCTTGACAAAGTATGATCACTCATATAAAGAAAGCACATTAATTGAGAATCAAGTAGGTGCAATCAATATTAATTCAAACCATATTACGAGACTAGAAATGGTTATGCCTTAGTTCCACCTGCATGGTTAGTTAACAACACGATAATAATGTCCATTTGGACCTGAGGATAGTTCTGTGCCCCGTTCCACCTGCATGGTTAGTCATCAACAAAACCACATACTCAACATATTAATAGAAAATTGAATGTGATGCTTTAAGCAATTAAAGTGACATTTGATTCTAATATATGCTTACACTCTATCGAGATATTAGCGTGTACCGGTTAAGCTAGTGTTAATCTGTCGATAAAACAATAAACTTACTTAACTCGGTAAAAAAACAATTGAATTCTACCACAATTATACAACTACATCTATTTTAAGTGAACTGTGTTTAGTTTACAGGCTCAAGTATCGTGCTTTACTCTTGGGTGCATCAAACGATAACTAACGAGAATGAGTGACGACACTAAATGTCGTTCTGTGCCTCAAAATAAAATCAATACTAGATCTAGTATTGTAGTATAGCATAGTAAGGTTCGTATCCACTGGAAAAGTAATATTTCATTTTTATGAAATTGTAACAAAAGTGTTTTAAGAGTGTTTTGAACTTAATAATATTTAAACACTAAGATGAATGACTTATGCCATTTAAATTAATAGAGATGAAGATTTGGTTTTACTTATATCCGCTTAGTAAAATGTTCATCGGTTCTGGTTATATCTTTAACTATCTTCCTCTCGAGTACTCAGTCGTGGAGTACTTCTAATTCATCGAGGTTAGTTATTAACAATGAAACACGTTCATTAATAAAATGTACTATCTAGTCAATGTACAACATGCGCCTTATATTGACCCGATAGTAGCAATAAAACTTAATATGAAATCAACTGAGATAGACAACTCCAACACAAGTGATTTGTTGATTTAATCAATATAATTAATCTCCCTTAGATTATTAACCATGAGATGCATGCATTAATAATCCAAGTTTACTACTGTTGAAAGGACCAAGCGAATAACAAGCGTATCCGTCGATAGATTCTAGTAATAATTAATATATGAAAACAAAATTGGTTGATCCCTTAAGTAATGTCCAAATATTAATATGAAATTTAAATAGGAATGTAATTAATATTCAAGGAAGACAATTACAGAAAATAACTCACAACTTACAAATCACAAGTTTCAATGTAGCAAAATCAAGATGGAAGGATTTAGCTTCTCATTTGAAGACTAAACATGCTAGAAAATATAAAGAAAATATTTGTCTAAACTGAGCTTAGAGGTATATGTGAGTTGGTGATTAAATGGGAAGAAAAAAGGGTGTATTTATAGGTGTTTGGAGGTGGCAAGTCATGTACCCAACCGGGTATATAAGGTACCTGATAGGGTACCGAGGCAGTTTCCCAAAAGCTGCAAAATCCGGCAATACCCGACCGGGTACGTCGGACTACCCGATCAGGTATGAGACCTATCTTTTCAAAATATTCATCAGCCACAATCTTTTGCCTTCCCGGATTTGATGTAGATGGCTGAATCAAGCAAATACCCTATCACATATTGCATATACCCAACCGGGAATATGAGCAATTTTTTCAAATCAATGGTTTCTCTTGTCCCTTTGCACATTCCTTGGTCTTTGGGATCCATTCTTTGATCCTCTGGATGATCTTGATCTGTTTTATGCTCAGAAAAGTCCTATTGTAAATAAATTACAAGAATTTAGAAAACTAAAGTATTACACCAAAAGTGAGTAATTGCCACAATAACAAATAACAAAACTAAATAAAAGTGCAAACATACAATCGGAAATTGCAACAATATCAACACTTCCATACATAGTTTCTTTACTCGTTCTCGAGTAAAGTCAAGTTTTCAGCAAGTTCAAATCATCAACAAGTCCATAACAAAAGAAACAAACAAAAGACCACCAATGATAACAAATGAGTTTACATTGAGAATTTAACTCAAACAACATTATCTTCTCTTAGGCTTTGGGTTCTTCAATGCTCTGCTTCACTTTTTCTTCTTCTCTTTAGGATCAAACAATGTCTTGCAAAAAATAAATATTTCTCTCGTATCTCTCATTTTTTCTAAGAGCCTGATGGAGTATATTCTCAAATACCTCAGGGGTATCATAATCGCCAGTCAAATTAAAGGCCACAAAGGCCCCACAAAAGCCGGTCAATTCAAACTCCCTGTAATATAGAGCTCATAGTGATACGGTCCTTTCATTCAATGAACATTCAACTAAGTCTAGAACTTGATATTGTGTCTATTCCAATAACATAGTCTCTGTGTCTCAATCTTTCTAGATGATCCATAACGATCATATTTGATATCCAAAATGAATATATCTTTGCATTGGTCAATGACCTTATGACAAGTAAAATGTTCTCTCTTAATCTTTTTTTTTTTTTTTTGGAAAAAGGTTATTTTATTGATAAAAGTAAAACAGTACAATGCGAGAAAGGAAAAAAAGAAAGACAATACAGAAAAGGAAAGAAAGAAAAGAAAAGAAACTAAAAACTAGTCCCAAGGGAAATCTCTGGATTGTGACCTTGTCCTCATGCTATGGCGCCTTTTGTTCTTCTGAGATTTCCGATAAATCTTTAGTTGTGTGTTTAAATTGTTCGTAGGCAGGCAATTCTCGGAGTTTACGAACTTAGCTTTATAGCAAATTGTTCTGTTGAACTTGGAGTTCCTAATTTCTTCCTCGTTTGATATAGGAGGACGACGATCGCTTTCGGTTGCATGTCCAAGAAAATCGTCTGAGAAAAAAGAGTCATCAGAATGATCAAAACTGTCAGATGCGTCCGAATAAGCTTGGATCGGTGGCAACTGGAGTTGTTTCCCTGGAGAGTAAACTTGTTGTTTCTCATTATGTGCTGCCTGGATTTGATAATTAAAAATCAGTTTAGATATGGATATAGGATCCTCGGTTTCAAAGGTGCTCCTGTGCTGAAAAGAGTCATCTTGCACACACCTTGGTCCTACAAAATTAGATAAAACAGTGATAAATTTGAACAGGCTGGCTTTGTGAGGACCCAGAGGAATGTGAATGGAGCTCCCCCTCTCTTTAGCGATTTTCAAGTAGTATCCTGATCTAAAAATTTCCAAGGAAGCTGTGAAAACTCCGAATCTCCTTTTTTGTTTAAAAGTAAACGGTCCAGAACTTGTGATTTGAGAGACGAACTGGATAATTTGAGCAG